GGACATAAGTAATGAAGCAAAAGACGGGATTAGATGGAGTGGATCCTTGCAATACCTCACTAATCACAGCCTGCCAGCACAGCCTGGGAATGACCCATTTATTTCAACATTCTATTTTCCTTCCATTAATCAATCCTCAATCCATGTCTTGAAATTAGACCACCAGTTTAATGTGCACTGTGATCCACCTGCTGATTACAGAAAGTCAAATTACTTCACTTTGCATTTTTCCAAAGCTCTAGGGAGATAATAGATGATGTGTATTGTCCTAATTAGCTAGAAAATCTGGCTTTGTAAGAAAGCATGGGATTCTGAACTGTTGGTTGACCAGCAACCATTTCTGGACTTGGTTTCTGTTTCACAAACCTAGGGAGTCATTCCAAACTGAAAGCCAATTTAAGACTAAGGTCAGTCAATATTCTTGCCATAGTCACTAATGCCTGGACAGTCTGAGCAAAAACTCTGCAATCATTTAAGTATCAGCTGAACTCAAGCCCAGCCAAATGGCCTTTTTGATCCGTAGTTATCTTTGTAATCTGTGCACTCGATATCCAGCAATATGTAATCTGCACATTAATACCACATAAATTACAATAGCAATAGCATCAACACAGGAAGTATCAGAGCACAGGTTACCAATGCACAGAGTGGTGAGGGCCAGGATTCACACAGTTGAGGGAAAGACCAAGGTTTTTTTCACCAAGGGAATGCCATTGTTCGTATGCAATAAAGGGAAATATATCCTTGGTTGTGGGGTCAGATTGCAGGTGGCGGAGCCCCTTAACAACTTTTCTTTCAACTCCTCCCACTTCCTACAGACTAAGGTGGTGGCCATGGGAACCCGCATGGGCCCAAGCTATGCCTGCCTTTTCATAGGATACGTGGAACAGTCCCTCTTCCGCAGCTACACTGGCACTATCCCTCACCTCTTCCTCTGCTATATCAATGAACGTATCGGCGCCGCCTCGTGCTCCCACGGGGAGCTCAAACAGTTCATGAACTTTACTAACACCATTCACCCCAACCTCAAATTTAGCTGGACCATTTCTGATGCCTCTCGCTCCTTCTTGAACCTCTCTGTCTCAATCTCTGGTGACCACCTCGAAACTGATGTCTATTTCAAGCCCACCAAAGCTACCTCGTCTACATCTCCTCTCACCCACCTTCCTGCAAGAATGCGATCCCCTACTCCCAATTCTTCCACCTCCACCGCATCTGCTCCCAAGATTAGACATTCCTCTCCCGAACATCCCAGATGTCCTCGTATTTCCAGGACCGCAACTTCCCCCCTTCAGTGGTCAAAAACGCTCTTGACGCGTCTCTTGCGTTTCCCGCACCTTGGCCCTCACACTCCCTCTCCGCAACAAAAACAAGGACAGAATTCCCCTTATTGTCACGTATCACTTCAATAATCTCCGAATTCAATGCATCATTCTCCGCCACTGCCATCTGATCCCACAACCGAGGATATATTTCCCTCCCTACCCATATCTGCCTTCCAGAGGGGCCGCCCTCTCCGCGACTCCCTTTTCCGCTTCACACTCCCCACTAGCCTCACTACCCCCGGCACCTTTCCCTGCAACCACAGGAAGTGCTACACCTGCCCCTATACCTCCCCCTCACTTCCATCCCAGGCCCCAAAATAAACATTCCACATCAGACAGATGTTCACCGGCACATCCGCTAATGTAGTCTATTGCATCAGCTGCTCCCGATGTGGCCTACTGTACATCGGTGAGACCAAGCAGCGGCACGGAGACCGTTTTGTACAGCACCTGCGCTTGGTTCATGACAAACAACAACATCTTCCAGTCGTGAACCATTTCAACTCCCCCTCCCACTCCCTGGACGACATGTCCATCCTGGGCCTCCTCCAGTATCACAACGACGCCACCTATAAACTGGAGGAGCAACACCTCATTCCACATTGGGAGCCTACAACCCAATGGTCTTAATGTGGACGTTACTAGCTTCAAAATCTCCCCAACCTTGGCCTTATCCCATGACCAACCCTTCCTCTCATCCCCGCCTCCTTGACCTGTCCGTCTTCTCTCTCACCTATCAGATCCTCCCACTTCACTGACCAACACCCACCATTGCCTACCCGCACTCACCTATCACCACCCACCTACCTTCCCTTGACGTGTCTGTCCTCTCTCTATTTATTTCAGAGCCCCCTACCCCTCCCCCATTTCTGAAGAAGGGTCCTGACCTGAAACGTCAGCTTTCCTGTTCCTCTCATGCTGCCTGGCCTGCTGTGTTCCTCCAGCTCCACACTGTGTTATCTCAGAGTTCAGCATCGGCAGTTCTTATTATGTCTGATTGAACTTACTGGGGTTGTCTTTATGGGGTAAAAGGCATTGAAATGTTCAATCAGCCATGATCATACTGAATGGCTGCACAGAATCAATGGTCAGAATGCCATTCTGTAGCATTCCATTATTCTTCTTGATTATGTGCTGTACCTGCATACCAAGTTTTTCTGCCTGATGTTATCCTCCATCTGCCAGAATTTTTTTCTCTCACTCAAATTGTTTAAATCTGCAACTTCTTCATCAGGTCTAGCAGCATCTGAGGAGAGAAATCAGAGCTAACATTTTTCCTCAGAACCGAGGAAGGCTCACTCAACTCAAAACGTCAAGTCTGATTTCTCTCCACAGATGATGCCTGACCTGCTGAGCTTTTCCAGCAATTTCTGTTGTTGTTTCTGATTTACCGTATCCACAGATTTTTTTGGTTTTATGCAACTTCTTTGTGTCTTATGTTTCCCTGTATCACTTGGTGTCATCTGTTGAATTTATCTACCATGCCTTCAAATCATGAGCATAAATTGCGAGAATTTTGAAGTCCCAGCACAAACCTGTGGGACACCACACCTCACATCCTGCCAATTGAGACACATAAAGACCCTTTTATGCATATTCTGTTTCCTGCCAATCTTCTCTCCATGCTAATGCGTTGCCCCAAAGCATGTTTATTTTTCTGCAGTAACCTTTGATATGGCATCTTCTGGAAATCCAAGTACAGTATGGACTTCCCATTATCCGCAGCACATGTTACTCTCTCCCAGAATTCCAACAAATTGGTTAAACATGATTTCCCTTTATGAAACCATGCTGACTCTTCATCATTACCTTGAGGTTTTCTAAATGTGTGGCTATAATCTTTTTAATGATTGATTCTAACAGATTACAGGCGAGGTGCTGCAAGACTGGAAGTTGGCTGACGTGGTGCCACTATTTAAGAAAAGTGGTAAGGAAAAGCCAGGAAACTATAGAACGGTGAGCCTGACATCGGTGGTGGGCAAGTTGTTGGAAGGAATCCTGAGGTACAGGTTTTACATGTATTTGGAAAGACAAGGACTGATTTGGGATAGTCAACATGGCTTTGTGCATGGGAAATTGTGCCTCACTAACTTGATTGAGTTTTCTGAAATTGACAGTTACACCCTTTTGTCACTTATGGTATTGAGATAAATGGAGGCAGAGACAGTTAAAGGCAGCCATATGGAGATACGGCACAGATCTTATCAAATGAATAAACAGGTCTAAGGCCTAAATATGCTCCTCCTGTTCCTATGTTTATAATTTTCATAAATGATTTGGACACGGAAATCTGAAGTACAATTTCGGAATTAGCTGATGACACCAAGTTTGGGTGTGGTTAATATGGAGGAAGACTAAGCTTGCAGAATAAATGAATAATTGGTTAATGAACTTCAGGATAGGTAATTCTGAGGTGTTACACTTTGGAATAAAGGGTAAGTAAGCCCTGTGTCCCTTGAAAAGGTAGGAATTTAAAGGACATCGAGGAACAGAGGAATCTGTAGGTACAGATACACAAATCGCTATAATTCGTAACAGAGTAATAAGGCCTTGAAAAAAAGATAAAATACAGAGTGTTCATCTCAAGGGGGATAGAATCAAAAAGTAGACGTTGGTTAAACCAAACTTATGGTAAATGAATAGTTCCGCTCTTCTTGTTATAAAAGGGACATTGAGGTACTGGAGAAGAAAAAGGCAAGATCTATTTGGATGATATCAGAACTGAGAGGTTATGCCTATCAAGAAGGACTGAACAGCTTGGTGCTTTCTTTGCTGGAGAAGACAGGGGAATAGACTTTTCAAAATTACGAAGGGTTTGAAGTTACCTCCTGCGGGCAGACCAGAACTTGGGGACATACATATACAATGGTCACCAATAAATTCAACAAGGAATTCAGGAGGAACTTTATTACTCGGACAGTAGTGAAAATTTGGAAATGATGACCACAATGAGTATCTGAGGCAAACAAATTTGGTGCATTTATAGCAAAGCTGATTAAGCATGTAAAATAGAAAGGAACACATGGATATTTTGATGGGATGAGATGAAGTTGGGTGAGAGGAAGCTGATATGGACCTTAAACAGTGGCATGGACACATTGGGCAAGATGGTATTTTCTTGAATTGTAAAACTTCATGAAAATGATCATTTGGCAGACTACAGAGTTGAACACAGAAAACCTTAAAGTTCACATTGCAGAGCTCAAAGGACTTGGTACACACTGCAGAATAGTACCAAACTTTAAAGAAGTCAAAGAAATGGAAAATTAGGAAATTAGTTGGATATTAGCAAAGGCCCAAAGATTACAGGAATACAAGGAGTTGACTACAGACTGGCACGTGGATGTTGTGAAAGAGTCTGGGGACAGAACTCGGTGAAGTTATGGTTTTATTTTACAAAGATTTGGAACAAATGACTAAATGGATATCCCTTTTAAAGGTCCACTAGAGGTGGAAAAAACAAAAGAGATTCTTTCTGCATTATTTAGAGTATGCTAACATAGTAGTTAGGTACTAGACTAGTAATTTGGAGGTTTCAATCAATTTACAGAAGACACAAATTCAGATTTTGGATTAATATTAACAGTTAGAAAGAAATATAAAGCTAACACCAATAAAAGTGACTATAAAGCTGAGGGATTGTCATAAAAATCCTGTTGATTCCAGAATCCTTACCTCATCTGACCTATATGTGACTCCAGATCCACACCATCGTGGTTGATTCTTAAATGCCTTCTGGAGTTGCATAGCAAGCCACTCAGTTGAATCAAACCGCTAGAAAAGAGAAAAATATATGTAACTGCATGGTCCAATTAACTGCAATCTCAGCAATCAACCAAGACATGTCAAAGGGAAATGGAAGCCCTCTGCTTGCAGAATTCTGCTCATTAATATGTTGGATTGGTAACCAAAGTTAGGGAAACATGTATAGAATCATACATGTTAGTCAGCATCCCAGACATCACCATTCTGGGACATCAGGTTATATGTGGCACTGGAAGCTATCAATATTGACTCAGGATTTAAAGAATCACTGGATCAAACACAGAAAAGGAAACCTCCTACTAATTGCCATCTACTGTTTCTCATCAACTGATGAATCAAAATTCCTTCAAATTGAACGCCACCTAGTGAAAGTACTAAAGAGCAAATTCTGATGTGCATCACCAAGATTGGCTCAGTAATACCACCATCTACAGAGCTGGCCAAGACTAGATTGAGGCAAGTGGTAACAGAATAAACATGCGATTAATCTCCCTGACCTTGTCTTCATTAATTGTCAGATGAGCTGAATATGGATTGCAATGTGAAATGATTGCAAAGGACTCCTGTGGTGCAGTGGCACTGTCTCTACTTCCATGACAGAAGACCCTTGTCCAAGTCCTGCCTGATCTAGAGATGTGTCATAACACTTCTGAACAGATTGATTAAAAACATCTGAAGTGAATGCAACCTAGGAGGCCTGAGTTCAAGTCCCACCTACTCCAGAGGTGTGTAACAACATCTCTGAACAGGCTGATTAGAAAACGTCTCAAGAGGTAAGCACCACCCATTCCTATATGGGAAAGTACCTCAGCCTGGCTGAGGAACCCTGGCCAGTGAACTGGAAGGAGCTGGAGGCCAAAGTCTCTGCTCATTTAGGCCACTGGACAGGACAACACTGTGTGCTATCTTATAGGGGCCAAATGCTGGTCACAACCTTTGACCCTCTCCCATTCTTTTGTCACAAAAGTACAGAAGATGCTAGTTTACTTCTTCTAGGACAAGAAGATTTAAAGGGTCACTGCAGAGGTTCAGAGTCGCCCTATTAAGGAGGGTGGTCAGTCACTGGTATGCCTTTGCACCAGGTGACAACTTTCTGTCTTCAGACCCTGTGGCGATACCTTTATGTCTAGCCTCCTGACAAAATATTTCTTCTACTGGGTTGGCGACCTCGATTATGATATACAGCTCCTGTTCATAGACAGCGAGGGTCTTCAGATCTCTCTTAGGATGTTGCCTGTCTTTTACCAGGACCTGATTAATGTCTGGAACATGGTCCACTCGCACTGGGTCTTCGTACTGTCAGGAGTAGTAACTATCATCAAGAAAACCATTGCTCAGGAATCCATGCCTCCCCATTGTGAGTTCAAGTGGCTGGCAGAGGGGACGGTTGTGGCTGCAGGTTGAGTGGCAGAAGCCTGGGCTGGGTGCTGGGTAGCAGAGGCTGGATATTGCCATAGGAATGAGCAAACAGGATGGCTGTGGACATCCATTTTGCAGACAATCCCATCCATTGCCTGAAAATAGTGGTGCTTGGACACGATGTTGTACATAGTCAAGTGATGCAGGTACTCCTCCTTGGATTGAATTTTATATCAGCCCCAGATTCGTGAACCTCCCTTAGCCATCTTGTGGGAATGGCCCATGTGTCCTTCCACCTGGTGTAGAGGTGCTTTTTGGATGGTTTACTGCTGCACACCATTCACTTCGATTCCTTCATCCACTGTCTGGACACACCTCGGTGTGCTATACTTACCGCCGGTTGGCAGGGGTCCTCAATGGAGGCCTCTCTACACAGGAGTCCTAACACTTTCCATCAAGGGCCTGGGGTGTGTTTTTTTTCCCCTTGATTCATTCACAGGATGAGGGCATCACTAGCCAGGCAGCATTTATTGCCCATCCTTAATTGCCCAAGGGGCAGTTAAGAGTCAACCACATTGCTGTGGGTGTGGAGTCACATCTAGGCCAGACCGGGTAAGGACAGCAGTTTCCTTCCCTAAAGGACATTAGTGAACCAGATGGGTTTTTCCTGACAATCGACAATGGATTCATGGTCATCATTAGATTCTTAATTTCAGATATTTATTGAATTCAAATTCCACAATCTGCCATGGCAGAGTTCAAACCTGAGTTCCCAGAACATGATCTGAATCTCTGGGTTAACAGTCCAGTAATATCACTAGGCCATTGCCTCCCCAAGTAAATACAACAGTCCCTGGTAACCTCAGATTGCAGTGGTTCATGGGTTTGCTTATTATTGCGGAGCTGTGGACTAGGTAATTTATTGGTTGTGGACTATTGCACCCTGTTTTAGTTCTTGAAAAATGTTCCGTTGTGCTTTTAATTGCACTTCAGTTCCACACTCCTGATTTTTTTGGGCAGTTGGAGTGTGAAAAGTCAAAAGATCACGTCATGGGTCTGCTCCAGGGCATGGCCAAGTTGACCGTTAACAATGCCAGGTAGCATGCTGTGGAGGAAATCACAGTGCTAACTGTCTGCCCCTCTCCCGCTGTTACATTTGTGCCCAAGTGTCCTACGGGAGGGAGCATGTACTGTCCGCTATGCTCTTGGTGCCTTTAGAGATAGGTGGGCATCGCAGGGAAGAAAGAAAAAAATATCAGTAGGTAAGTGCTAACACAGTGTGGAGCTGGAGGAACGCAGCAGGTCAGGCAGCATCAGAGGAGCAGGAAAGCTGACGTTTCAGGTCGGGGCCCTTCTTCAGAAGAATTTCCTGTTTTTCTGATGCTGCCTGGCCTGCTGTGTTCCTCCAGCTCCACACTGTGTTATCTCAGACTCCAGCATCGGCAGTTCTTACTATCTTTCAGTAGGTAAGTGAGAAGCTCTTGTGGTGCATAGCAATGTCACTATATCTGAGCCAGGATGCACAAGTTCAAGTCCTACCTGCTTCAGAACTATGTCATCATGTCTCTGCACAGGCTGATTAAAATAAAAATACCTGGATGAATTGGTTGTGGTATCACTGTGTGAATTTTCCAGTACAAGTCAGGTGAATTTTCTAGCTAGAATAATAGCATATCATTTTTTGCTGAAGTAATTTACAGCCTTCGAGATTCAAAATTGAGTCCAATAATTTTAAATCATGAAATCTATCCTCCATTTCGATTAGTTCCACCCCTTCCGAATGTTTTGTTTGCACTGGTTTGCTCTCAGCAAAGCATACCCATATTTCTGCTAAATTAGCAAATGATCAATTAGGACTAAGTTTGCGCATTTGTTGGGTATCAAAATCAATATTTTGAATTTTGAAAAGCCTAATTTAGTTTGTCATTGAACTGATATTAACAGTTTAAATTTTGCAGTCGCCAGCCCAAAGCAGGGT